AAATTGCTAAGTTGATGGTTGGTGAACTTAGAATTGATAAGTTGGAATTGTTGGAAATTGGGTTATGTCGATTTAATTGGAATTGTTGTATTGGAATTAATATTGGTTATTTGATTGGTTTAGTTGAGTTTGCTTCCACTGATGTTTGAATAATGTTTGTTGTTAGTTTGATTGGATGTTCAGGATTAAAAAACGGGTCGGGTTGTTTCAGGGATAAATGACCTTTGAGTTGCCAAGATGGGTTTAGGTGATAATATATATGAGTTTACTCCCACACCAGTCACTCCTCGTCGAAGAGCGACTAGGGTCAAAAATCCTTAGCAAAGCGTTGTTGCCCCAGAGGCAGCTGGCTCCTTGTTGAAGGGTAAAGGTATTATCATCTCTGGGGACATGAAGAAATAGAAAATATAAGAGATAGAAGAGGCTCGGCCTAAAGCCGCAACTGATCTTGGAGCCGGAACTGCTCCACCAATTTGGAGCGATGAACACAATCATAACCCATCGTCCAATTCGCCCCTCGGTGATCATTCAGGCGCGAGATCCCTCATTCTTCCCATTGATTCTTCATTGGCCGTTTCCAGTGTGATTTCTAGTGGGCGTCCACGGCTGCGACTCCTTCTACCATTCCTTACATCCCTTACATCCCTTACTCGCCCTCCTTCTTTGTTTTCTTCAAAGAAAATGTCGACGGGCGACCTCTCCGGTTCCTCTCAGAGGCAGAAACTTGAAGACGCCCCTTATTTGGAGGTTCGTATCTCACCCAATCATGATTCGAGTCGGGTTCTTGATTATGCTAACATTAAAACTCTTCTTTATCCTGTTATTGAAGTCCGTATTTCTCTACTTCGGTCCATTGGCGGGCCTTATGATAATATTCCTGAGGTGGGAAAAATGATTTCCCAGCTACTTACGAAGGTGTTTCTTGCGATGCCATAAAGGTACCATGACATCCTTGCTTCCTAACTTTCTTTGGACGTTGCCGTTTTTTAACTACCTCTTTTTTTTATATAGCTATTCAGTTCGATCAACTGTCTTGTTCACTCATACAAGCAAGCCATTGGAAGAGAAGTTGATGCCTGTTTCCGCTTTCTCAATTGTTGAGGAGAGAGGAGCTCGTCTAGAGGCTGCTCAAGCTGAAATTGCATGAAGAAGGAGCTGGCTCTGATCCCGTCTGAACATGAATGCCTCAAGGGCCTCACAGCTTATGGCTTCATACAGCCAAGGAAAGAGCCTAAGCTAACGACAAGCTAGCTGCTCTCCAAGTGGATCGCCAAGTAGAATTCCATTCGAACCGCTTCGAAGCTTTACCATGCCCAAAGTGCCACAATATGTTTTGATGTTCTGAAAGGAGACTGAGTTCAAAATTTATGCCGAACTCAAGGGTTCTTACTTGGCAGAAAAGTAGAAGATGTGTGCGGAGATCGCTGCTATTGCCATAAGAAAAACAAAGTTTATGCTTCTTCTCAAGTTCCTAAGGGTATGGATCAACATGGCACGCATCTCCTCGATGGTCCTCCTCTCGGACAACAAGAAGAAAGTTATGATAATACTTAGAGCCGCGTATGGCTAGCTTTCTATTTTTTGCCTTTTGTTTTACTTTTGAACATGGTGCCCTTTTGTGGGTTTTGAATTTCTGTTTTATGCATTGCCTTAAATCTAGGGTTTTATTTTGGTCGGAGATTATGTCTCCGTTTTTGCCTATTATTTACTTTATCAATGTTGTTTTGTTGTTTTTGCGCTAACTGTTTTGCAGGTCGCATCTCGTATGATTCACAAACTTGGAGAACCTTGTCTGAACAGATATGTCTTCTAAGAGTATTTATGAATATTATTCAAATATTATGTATGTTCAAGTTTCTGTATGACTTGTGTATGATCGTAATAAACGATCTTGCTGAATGTTTGGTCATACTCATGGAGTGTTATTGTTAGGAACTTTATCATTAGTTGCAAAACATGTTTTGGCTTATCCTTGCATAATTGGTGAGATCTGAGTTCGACTTGGGGTTTTAGACTCTGCAAACTAGTGTTCGGCTTACCTCATCATTTGTCCTAGGTCGTACACAAGAATGCAATTGTAGGTCAGCGTTTTGTTATTTGGCCGAGCTAGGACTGTGCAGAAGTGGGGATGGTGAAATATTAGTTTGTTGATTATTTCACCAAAATAGCACTTATGAGAAGGGCGTAAAGTATGATCACTTGTCCAGGATAAAGATGTGTAAAAATAAATCACAGATGATTTGTAAGACTGGATGAGATGGTCGCGCCGAGTTATTTTTATTAAGTGTAGAGAGATCGTTAACCAAATTGGATTAACGAGCTAAATAGTTCATTTAAGTTCAATTTAAATGAGTCAAGGATATAACAAAAATTAAATTTTAATAAGGTAGCAATTGCACATTGTTAAAGGCTGCATGCATACCCTTCAAAAATGAATCAAGTCACCCGTAGTTCAATTACGATAATGGAATGAGCTTGTAAATAGTGAGTGTTCTTCTTCTTTTTAGCGGCGCTGGTGAACTAAATGAAAACTGTCTTCAATAATAGTAACGATTTAGCTTCTATGAATTCCAAGAAAGTGGGACGTAGAATCATTC